CTACATATGCCCGGCGGCACGGCCAGCGGCCGACCCGGCGGCCAGACCGCCGGCCATACCCTGCGACACGCGCGGCTTTTGGTTGCCGGCGGCAGTTTGCTTGCGGCTTCGATACGGAGTAGTAGTGTTGTAGTATTCGTGAATAACACAATTTCATATACTTAAATAACCAAATGACAGAATTTAACTGGGATGATAGTGCAGTACTTTTACTAATAGAAAAGTATCAAGAAAATGAACTATTGTGGAACCCAAGGCATATAGATTTCAAGAATCGCAATAAAAGAAATGATGCTATTAGGGATATTGCTTCTGTGTTCAACATAGCATCATCAGAAATTGAGAGAAAGCTGAAGAATTTATCCAGCCATTATTCTCGAGAAAAACGTAAATATGAAGAATCTAAAAGGAGTGGATCTGGACGGGAAGATGTTCTATTGCCTAAATGGTTTGCTTATAAGGCGTTATCATTTCTTAATGACAAGAATGCACCGGTACCGACTCTGAACAGCCACACACCTAGTGTAAGTACCCATCAAATTCTTATAATTAAGTAGACTAGTTGGTCACCCATTGGTCGAAATTCGACCATAATTAATTTAAAATACATTATTTCAATAAATAATATTTTCGTAAATAGGGGTACACAGTTTTTCCCTGGCGTATTAATATTAGATACCTACTACCTACTGTAGTGTGTTAGGGCACGTTAAGGTAAACCTATCAATTAAACACTACTTTTATAAAGAAATATGAATGTTTATTGACATTGATAAAACTAAAAACAATAATGCGCGGCGCGAGTTACGAAAAGACATGCATTCGCCGTAGATGTTAAGCTTGTTTGCAATTATTTATAAGATTTCCTTTTTATTTTCAGTCTTCTCAAGATAATATCACTCCCCAGACTACGCTACCTTCGACAAGGACTTCACGAAAACGAAATATAGAGAGAGATCCTGAAGTTGATGAAGCTTTGCAATTACTGAGGGAGATTACATCTGATGCAAGGCAACGCGATGATGCTGCTATATTTGCAGACTATATAAGTACCAAGTTGAGGAAGATGGATCATTACACGATGTGTACAGTACAACATCAAATTCAGAATATTGTCTATGAAGCGGAAATGAGAATGGGTTCGATGTATTTTGATAGGACCAATAATACTAAAGTCCTTTTCATGAAAGAAATCCCGCGGTGATTTTTGGAACTAAATTTGACAGGTCGGCCATGTTGTCGTTCGTCGATGTTATCAAGTTCGTTTGTTGTGGTAGATTTTTGTGAGTTTTAAACTAGCTTAGTGCATTTTAAAGATTGTTTACAATGCCAAAAGTTGTAAAAAGTTCGGCTCGAGAAATGATATTGAAGGTGAAAGAATTCTGTGAAGCTGAACAAAAGAATCAAGGTGTTTTAATACCACTGAACAATGTTCGGAAGAGAGTCGCCGCCATAACAGGTACCTGCCATATAATAATTTTTTGCTGTATTGATGGGACTTTTATGATATAAATTCGTTTTGCGACAAAATTGAACAAATACATAACGTGATGAAATTAGGTAACCGCAATTAAAACGTATATTACATAGTACATAAGCATTATAAACTTAAAGTGACTATTATTTTTAATTGTTCATTCTTTAATTGCAGGTGTGTCAGAGAAAACTATAACAAGAATTACAAAAGAAGGTATAACAGCGGCGAGTACTTCGAAAAAAATAATCACCCCGGGGAAGAGTCGCCCGCATCCGAAAAAGTTCGACTTAGACGGGTTCTATTTGTGCTCTATCCGACAAAAAATTCACAGTTTTTACGTTGTGCATAAAGAATTACCAACTTTGGCTAAATTACGAGCAGCTCTTAGAGAAGACATCAATTTTCAGGGAAGCATCACAACATTGCACAGGATATTAAATAGGATTGGTTACAAGTACAAGCGATGTCAATCCAGACGCAAACTACTTATGGAACGTCACGACATTACCGCATGGCGTGCAAGATATTTGGATAAAATACGAATAAATCGCACTGTGGAAAAACGACCCGTTGTATACTTAGATGAGACCTATGTACACAATACTTATCATACAAAAAGTTGTTGGCAGAGTGAGGAGGAGCCAGGAATGTTCGTCTCAGAGTCATCAGGGAGTCGCTGGATAATCGCTCATGCGGGAACAAAAGATGGATTCATAAATGGTGCATTATTAATGTTTAAATCCCAATCAAAGTTCTCAGATTACCACGATGACATGAACTCTGCAAATTTCTTAAAATGGGTGACGGAAAAATTAATACCTAATCTACCTGAAAGGTCGCTTGTGGTAATGGACAACGCTCCTTACCATTGCACTCAATTAAACAAAGCCCCTTCAATGTCAAATATAAAAAGTAGTATGCAGGAATGGCTCCGGCAAAAGGGTGTATATTTTGAAGACACCTGGAGAAAAGCTGTGCTGTTTGAGCTAATCAAACAAAATAAAGGTCCACCGACACTTGCAGTGGATGAATTATTAACAGCTCACGGACACGAAGTATTAAGGTTGCCGCCTTACCATTGCGACCTCAACCCGGTGGAGAAAATCTGGAGTAAAAAGAAAGGTGGCGGATAAGAATGTGGCACAAGATCCAAAAGAAATTGTAAAATTAACTGTAGAGGCATTTGAGTCTATTACGGCGGAAGATTGGACAGCTCAGTGCACGCATGTCGAACATTTAGAGGAGGAATATTTAAAAAATGACGGCCTTATGGATGAAGAGATGGACCGAATAATTATATCTACGGCTAGTGATACTGAAACAGAATCTGATTCAGTTTCCATCCACTCTTCAGACAGTGATGTTCCTATGGCCGCTGATCACAATTATTCAATAAAACTCTGAATAAAAAATTGTAATGCTTTTCTTTACCCTATTTTCTCATCTTTTCCCTGTAAGTAGGTAGAACACCGCTTATAAAAGTAAATAAAAATATACTTTTTACAAAACAGAAATATAGTTAATTATGTAAATGGACATTTTTATCAAAATTTATGTTTAAATAAACTTAAACTAGGAAATGTGACATCCCACGTTTCCCAGTACTGATCATGACCAAAAGTCGTCGGCTTTTATTGCTTTGTTTTTAGTTTCTCACCTAAACACTGAAACTATTTAATAATAACACGACACTTACATAGTCATAATAACGTTAGTTAATTGGACTTATTGCATGAGTCATCCCATGAGTGGGTTGGTAGACATTTTGATAAAAATGCCCAAATATACATTTCACTTATCAGAAATATACATGTTTCACTAATCTGAACTATTGTTATAGTATTGGCTTGAGTAATGAAATTACAGCCTATCTAACATGTATTTATTTCTTAATACAATTTAATAGTTTCATCGAAGTCTGCAGGAATAATATTATTTGATAAATTACATATGCTAAATGTAAAATAGGTAAATTTTTACTCATAAATGGCAACACTATGTCACGCGAGTACAGCGCTGCGTCTGGGGGATTTCTTTCATGAAAAGGACTTTACTCAGCCTCTTCGTTATCGAAATGTTCGTCCAGGATACTTCACAGGCCAACCTACAACGTCAGCAATGTCACCGTCGGCCTCAACTTCGCGCTCTTACTCTGTTCAATCAGACTACGAAATGCAAAATAGCCCAGATGTCAACACAAGTGACAGTGTTACTAGTCTTGGAAAATAATTTAACCGAAAATAGTGTAATAGATTAAAATAAATGTTTAAATTTTCAAAAGTCAAAAAGGTCCTGTATTTATCGAATTTTATTAAGGTTTATGCATAAAATATAACCTCTCTTTACATACACAATTACACAATGTCCTTAAAACGGAGGGAATCGAAAATAATTACGACTGTATGACCTGTCCAGTCCCGCCGGTCACAACCACACCGCTCCCGCGCCCGCACCCCCACCCCGATCGCTCTTTCTTCGTTCAGTCTGTCTGTTCAGTCAGTTCTATCCGCACGTGCGTACTCATCGCCGCTTTGTCGATTGCAAATTCATACTAAATTGATGTCAAAACACGGAAGATTACTTCTGTAAAAAGTTTTTTTAGAAGATTAGTGTTCTCGTGTATAACCACGCACACGGTAAGTAACTGTGCACTCATACTTAGAAAATAAAGTGAGGCGTCATCGCAGCGCGGCCATGTTGGACGCGTGGGTTCAATAACAAAACCAGCGCGAAATATTTTTTACGCTTCACTTATGTATTTTTAGGGTTCCGTTTGAGAAACAAGGAACCCTTATAGTTTCGTCAAGTCATGTTTGTCATTCATACAAACACTATGAAAAACAAAGTTACAACTAACATCCAGTCATATCATTACTTGCTACCACGGAACCCTTCACGGGCGAGTCCGACTCGCACTTGGCCACTTTTTTTGCTTGTCTATTTGTGCTTCGTTGAAAATAAATTTGAAGTAAATCCTGTTACCACGCGAGCATATGACGAAAAATCTAATATTAATCGTTTGGAATACATTTTTTATTTATTGGTACGTATTTATTATTGCAGTTAACAATGGATAAGTGGCTAATAAAACGCACATCTACAGATGCAGGTGGCGGAAGTCCTAATAACGCATCACAAATCAAAAGAATTAAACACGTAGTTCTTGACAGCAGTGTCGCCTCAGATTCTACAATGACAACTACTGTTACGATTAATATAAGTCGTGAGACCAATGCCACCACTTCAAGTACTAGAAGTGTTATTACTATCGATGAAAGCAGAGAAACATCTAGTTCCACTACTATAACTATTAGTCATAACAGCGATGATTGTAGTTCAACAGCCACATCTACCTTACACATCGATACAGAGAGTGACGCTTCAACTTCAACTAAACAAGCAACAGCTATATCGGAGACAACTGGAAAGCGTCAACGCATCTTTAAAGAATCGTACATCCAGTTTGGTTTTAAATGTACAGTGTTGAATTTTGAACAACGTCCACAGTGCGTTGTTTGTTCGGATGAAGCCAACCAAACTGAAAAGGCACCTAGAAACTAAGCATCCACAGTTAAAAAATAAAGATGAATCTTATTTTAAACGACTTGCCACCAAACTAAAGTCACAGCAGGTTGATTTCCAAAAATACACAACAGTTAACCAAAAAGCCTTACAAGCATCTTTCGAGGTTTCCTTTTTGATTGCCAAAACTAAAAAACCTCACAACATTGGCGAGACGCTCATTTTGCCAGCTGCAATGAAAATGGTTTCGATCATGCAAGGAGAAAAGTATGCCAATTTACTGAAAACAATTCCACTATCAAGTGACACTGTTCATCGTCGTATCAATCTACTTGCTGATGATATCAAAATACAACTTATAGATCGCGTGAAAGGGAGTCCCTATTATGCTATTCAGCTGAATTAAAGCACTGATGTAGCTAATGTAGCTCAACTTCTGATATTTATCCGATACCGATATGAAAAGGACATATGCGAAGATTTGTTATTTTGTCGGGGATTAGAAGGAACAACCGGTGAAGCAATTTTTAATGCAGTTAATACCTTTTTTGAACTCCATGACATAAAGTGGGAATATTGTGTATCTGTGCGTACAGACGGCGCAGCTGCATTGACCGGTTCCAAAACAGGATTCAAAGCAAAAGTAACTGAGATTGCACCTCACGTAGGCTTTGTTCACTGTATGATTCACCGTGAAGCCCTTGCAGCAAAACATTTGCAACCAGATGTAAATAAAGTGTTGGAACAAGTCTTAACAATAATAAATTTTATTAAAGCTCGCGCATTAAACAGTCGCCTTTTCAAAATAATGTGTCGTGAAATGGGATCAGAATACGAAAATCTACTGTTATATACGGAGGTCAGGTGGTTATCGCGAGGAAAAACACTCCGACGTGTATTTGATCTCAAAGATGAAATCAGAATATTTTTACTTGAACGGGAACCAAAGCTAGCGGAATATTTTTTGAATGAAAATTGGTTGGCAACAGTTGGCTATCTTTCGGATATTTTTGAAAAACTTAACGATTTAAATCAATCGTTGCAAGGGAAGAGTACAAATGTATTGAGTTTAGCTAACAAAATAAAAGCTTTTTGTAGGAAAATAAGTTTGTGGATAGACGAAATCAGTCAACTACGAGATGTTTGCATGTTTGGAAAAATTTTCTGAAGAAAACAATATAAAACTCGAAGAAGAAATTAACACCAAAATCATGATGCATCTTACAAACCTTAAGGTTTGTAAGATGCATCACGATTTTGGCAAGTCTTGGAAATAAGATTCCCAGATACGTCACACGGCGACCAATGGATAATTAATCCATTCACTTGTGATCTTAACACTGTGAAGATGAACTTAAAAGAAAAGGAGTAGCTGATCGATTTAATGTCCGATGAAAGCCTTCGATCTATTTTCAAAACCACGGATCTATCCAAGTTCTGGATAATGACGGAAAAGGAATATCCACTGTTATTCAAAAAATCTCTGCTGAAATTGCTGCCATTCGCATCTACATACCATACATACCTTTGCGAGACAGCTTTCTCCACATTAACTGCTATAAAAACAAAATATTGCTCCAGACTTAACGTAGAACCTGATTTGAGGGTGTCTGTTTCTGATAATATATCACCAAGAATTAATATACTGACTGCAAGTGTGCAAGCACAAGGTTCACATTAGATTGTAAGGTTACGTATATGTACCTTCTTTTTTAAATAAAATATTAAAATAATTGCTTGTCTCATTTAATGCCATCATAAATATTACTCGTATGTTAAATGCATATTTTCTAGTTTGCTCTAATATTACTTTCCAAAATAAATAAACTCTTCAATATAAATAATTTACGAAATAAAAACAGCTAACTTCGTTACCTGAACCAACCTTTGCACTTGTTAACTTAGTGATTTTTTTTTCTGGGGTCGCTCATAACTCTTTTTTGAATTTTGGGATCGCAATATCAAAAAGGTTGCGGACCGCTGCCCTAGAGTGGATTCCGAACTTGCTATAATGACTGACGCATCTAAAGTGAGTGATAGACGGGCGAGCAAGTACGCGTACTTATGGCTCGACGACCTTTTTCGCTCGTGTGTCACCGTAAGTACGCGTACTTTAAAACCGCCGAGTAAGTTCGTCGGCGATCCAACCGGTTTAAAATCTTACTCGTAGCTCGTCTTGGCTCGTACGTGTGGCAGCACTGCGAGCCGCGAGCCGCCATTTTGTTTCGCCAGTCCGTGGACGCGCACGCTTGTTTAAATTGCAATTTTTGTTAATTTTGATTCAGAAATTTCTCAAAATGTGTGATTCTCGAACTTATTCGCATGAACTGCTAACCGAATTTATAGAAGCTTTCCGAAATAACCCTTGTCTTTGTAAAATTAGAAGCAACGACTACAAAGACAAAAATTTGAAGCTTCAAGCATACAATAATTTATTAGAAATTATACGGAAGGTAGAAAGAGATGCTACGATTGAGAACGTCAAGAAAAAAATTAATTCATTAAGGGCTGGGTTCCGAAAAGAACATAAAAAAGTGCAAGATAGCAAGAAGACAGGTTCAGGAACTGACCAGGTATACGTGCCAAAATTATGGTATTACAATCAGCTTGAATTTCTCAAAGATCAAGGCCAAGGTAAGTTTAATTATTTATTAAAGAATTTCTCTATACACTATTATATTATACGTGCGTATTCTTTGTTATGCCTGTGCCTAAATTAGGTAGGTACCTAAAATAGAGTACCTATTATAGCACTTTGTTTCATTACAATGACATTGTGATGTTTAAAACATGAACATTAAAACCAAAAGTAAATTTAGAGGGTTTTTATTTAATTACAGGTGAACAATCAACTGACAATATAGACAGCAGCGAACAGGAGACAGCTAATGATAATGAAAATACATTTGATGCTGAACATAGTGAAAATGATACCCAGGTAAAAATACTATTATTATATCATTCTTTGTTGCCATGACACTGCACCACTAGTATTAAAGTAGGTTTCATACTTTTCTCTGATAATTTTTGCATTTTGAGTGGGGTTACGACTATGTGTTTGTTGTAGTGACTGTAATTCTCCATTTTGTGGTCTCAGCCCCAATTCAATAGTTCCATTTTCGTGATTTTCACTATCTAAGTGCTGATGTGGACTGTAAGCTTGTCTTAATTTTTTCCTTAAAAAATTGTGCAATACACAACATGCCAAAACTATTTTGTTAATATTGTGCACACTGGTATTTATAGGCGATCGAAAAATGTGGAATCTTGCCGCTAGAATTCCAAAAACATTTTCTATAATTCTTTTAGCCCTGCATACTCTATAATTGTATATCCTCTTACTTGAGCTAGCCTGTGATTGCCTTTGTGGGTACGGTTTCATAAAATCTGTCCTCAAAGCAAAAGCCACGTCGCCAATAAATACATAAGGCAATTCTTCTGAATGACCGCTTGGTTTTCTGGGGCTAGGAAGATTTAAGCGCTTGGAATTCAATCTTTGAAAGAATGTAGTTTTTTGTAATACACCTCCATCAGAAATACGTCCATTTGTTCCAATATCTACATAAATAAATTCATAATTTGCATTTGCAATTCCCATAAGTACAATACTGTGATACCCTTTATAATTAAAAAAATGTGAGCCGGCTCCGGCAGGAGGGACTATAGCTACATGTTTCCCATCGACGGCTCCTAAACAATTTGGAAATTGCCATGTACGCTCAAACTCTTCAGCAATTGCTAGCCATTCTTCTTCTGAACTCGGGAACTGTAACAAAAAAAATCATAAAGCAGTATAAATGATATCATTTTTATTTACAGAGTACCGTTTGCAACGTGCCATCACCTGTGACACCTGAAACATCTGTTGCTTCATCTGCACGTCGTAAGCGACACGGCAATGCCGCCATTGAAGACACAATATCGTTAATAGGTAAAAGATTACAAAACCCAGATGATGAATATGATACTATAGGAAAAAATGTCGCAATTAAACTCCGCAACATGACTGCTATTCAACAAGGCATAGCTGAAAAGCTCATCAATGAAGTTATTTTTTTGGGACGGTTTGAAAAATTAACATTCAATACAAGTATACATAATCCAGTTCCAGTCCAGGTACCCCAAAGACCATTGATACACATGCCAGCTGTTCCAGTCCAGCTGCAAGAAACACAAGCATTTAACTTGACACAAGACTCGCAAACTATTAGTATCCCGGACACCCTGGTTGAATATTTAAACTTTAATAAAAATAACTAAAAATAAATAAAATAGTACGTTACATTTGTATATGTTCAAGAGTAAATTTATTTGTTAAGCATTAATGTTAATGTGCCATTGCAAAATAAAGTCTGATTATTTGTACTGAGTTATTTTGTTTATAAAGTATGTAATAAATGATATATACCTTCAAATATGTTTTCAGTGCAGAGTAGATTGCGTCACATGTCTCAGGAATTATGTACCCCAATGACTGTCTTGATATCGCTGACATATACATTACATCTTTATATGTATGTTCCACCAGTTATCAAAAATCGTAATGTTGCACTTAAACGTTCATGCGGTGAAATAGCTTCTCTCATGCAAGTATCCTGTTTAGCTATAATTGGTGTGACTAAACACAAAAGTTCTTCATACACAGGCTCAGGCATTCTGAAATAATTCTGGAAATCTTCCTTCTCTTCACGTAACTCTCTTACTAAATTCACATGTGATAAACGCTCTCTTTTTGTAAGCCAGTTCTTAACCCACAATTTTCGCCTTCGTCTATTGTTTTTAGTTTTTGAAATGTAATACGATATAATTCCTAAATAACACAAAGCTTCTTCAGTGGACGACATCGCGATACGGTATGAGTAAGTTGGCGCGTGTGTCGCCGACGTCGAGCCAAGTAAGTTCGCGATCTTAAAAACCGCCTACTTTAAGTTCGTACGTCTATCACCCACTTAATACATGCGTGGGAGCAGTCTTGCAACCAAAACCAAAACCATTGGGTTATTTCTCAAAAAAATTGACCACCACCCAACAGCGATATAGCACCTACGATCGCGAGTTGCTCGCTATATACGTAGCTATAAAACATTTTCGGAAATTATTTGAAGGTCAAAAAATAACCGTGTATACGGACCATAAACCTTTAACTTTTGCATTTCAAAAGATAGGACGCGATGAAAGCGAAACGCCTCGGAGAACGAGACATTTAGCTTTCACTTTGTTTAAGTATCAGTATCCGTGAACACGTATTCAAAGTATCTCTGTAGATTTTATTTATAAAACTGGTGCAAAAGTTGTTTATCTTGTTTAAACTCTATACAAAGATATCTATAGCACTAGACCTAGTGACTACGCGATATATATTAACAAAAATTTTAAACTACAAATACAATGTCGAAAAATTTGATAAAGAAGTGCTTAAAGTAAAGTAAATGTTCCTCCGGATCGGTAGTATCAATGGGCGTTCCTCAGGGCTCGATTCTTGGCCCATTCCTGTTCTTAATCTATATTAATGACTTACCTTATCTTGTAGGGGACAATCACGATATAGTATTATTTGCTGACGATACCTCTTTAATTTTCAAACTGAAACGGCAGTCAATTAAATATGACGATGTAAATAATGCTCTATCGAAACTAGTACATTGGTTTAACGCCAACAATTTGCTCTTAAACGGCAATAAGACAAAATGTATTAAATTTACAATACCTAATGTAAAACATTCGAAAACCAATGTGCTCTTAAATGGGGAGGAGTTGAGTCTTGTGGATACCACTGTTTTTCTCGGTATTACTATTGACGCGAAACTTCAATGGGGCCCCCATATATCTAAATTAGCAAGCAGACTTAGTTCTGCAGCATATGCTGTAAGAAAGATTAGAAGTCTCACAGATGTTGAGACAGCTAGGTTAGTGTATTTTAGTTACTTTCATAGCGTAATGTCTTATGGAATTTTGCTATGGGGTAATGCGACTGATATTGAAGCTATATTTGTTTTGCAAAAGAGAGCCGTACGGGCGATTTATAATCTAAATTGTAAAGAGTCCCTTAGAGAAAAATTTAAAGAAATAAACATATTAACTTTGGCATCGCAATATATTTATGAAAATGTAATGTATGTACATAAAAACATAAATAGCTTTAATAAGAATAAGGATGTTCATACCTTAAACACTAGGAACAAACATAAGCTTGTAATGCCACTTACAAGACTCCACAGAATTAGTAATTCATTTATGGGGCAATGTATACGCTTTTACAACAGAATCCCAGAACATGTTCAAAGTTTGTCAATAAACAAGTTTAAAAGTTTTATTAAAGAAAAACTGTACAAAAAGGGTTATTATAATATCAAGGAATACATGAGTGAAAATAACCCCTGGGAATAAGGTGATCGCCACCATGCTGGTTCTATGAAAATTCATTTAAAATTGTATAATCAAAATTATTGTTAAGTGAAATTATGTTTAAAAAAAAAAAGTCCCGCTGGGTTTCTTGCTGGTTCTTCCCAGGACAGAGGTATTTTCCGAACCAGTGGTAAATAAAATAATGACTTTCAATAAGTATTATGTAATAATCCATATTGAATAAAAATCATTCTATTCATTCTATTCTATTCTATTCTTATAATATTTTTTTTTATCCAAGTGCTAAAGTGTGGTATCTGTGAATCTTGCCGTCGTCGCGGTCGTCGTTTATCATCGCTGTATCAATAAGTACTTGCTATTACTGACCGGCTAACTGCAAATAGCGGCCGTAAATTTCAAACACTACGTTACGAAAGCGTTTGGTGTAGTGGTGCTAGCGTCGTGTCGGCCTTAAAATTAACTTATCGACGATCGAGTCCAGACCCTGTAACTGCGTTATAATAATATACACATATATTTACATACTTTTTTATTTCTTTTTTATACATAGTTTGGAAGTTTGTTAAAATTATAACTCGATTTACGTGGAAATGTCCACCAAATTGAAAGAAGATTATTGCGTAGCATGCGGTAGCTGACCACCATCACCTAGTAAAAGAGTAAAAATTAAATGTGCTTACTGTAAACAAGACTATCACATTCAATGTGTGAACATAAAAATTGAAACATACAATGATCTAAGCAGAGTTGCAAGAACGTCATGGAAATGTTCCACTTGTATAAACGTTACCACTCGCCGCAAAGGGGACAACACTAACACCCCGGTGTCCGCTCGTCGTCCTACGATGCTTGATGACTCCACTATGTCGATAGACAAAATTACCCATGTAGATACATCTGGCTCTGGTAGCCGTATTCAGGAGCCTGTAACCATCACTGGCAACCTTACACTTAACAACATAGCCGAACTTCTTGACTCAAAATTGAAAAGTTTTAGGGAGACTTTCTTCTCTGACATGAAGTCATTCATCAGAAGTGAAATAAATGCTGCTATTGAAAAAAACAAAACAAGAATTCACTGAAACGACAGATTTTTTGCAGTCAGAAAATAAAGATATAAAAGCTTCCCTATCTGTTGTTGAAACTCACATCAGCGAGCTAGAGAAAGAAAATTGCAATTATCTGAAAAATATCACGTATTTGCAGAATCGCTTGGAGTCTATGGAAAAAGTTTCGCGAAGCCACAATGTTGAAATACAGGCCGTCCCTGAAAAACGTAATGAAAACGTACTTGCCATAGTAAAAAACCTTTATAAGATCATAAGCTTACAAATCAATGACGATGAAATCAGCGCTTGTCGTAGAGTTGCTAAGTTACCATCTACTTCTGCAAGCCGTCCACGCAATATTCTAGTGAGCCTTCCGACTATTCGTCACAGAGACAATTTAATTTCAGCAGTGAAACGTTTTAACAAAGCCAACCCAAAGGAACGGATAAGTTCAGTGCATCTTGGTGTAGCTGGCGAAAGATCCTTGATATACGTAACCGAGCACCTGTCACCCGAGTGCAAGGAACTCCACTCGGCTACTCGAATAACACTACGGGATCAATACAAATACATATGGGCTAAATATGGCAATGTATACATCAGAAAAGATGATACGTCATCGGTTATACATGTAAAGAATAAGGATTTCCTATCGAAGTTGTCATCCTAAATTGTGTGTACATATTTCTTGTGTTTTCTAATAATCATTTTAAGCTTTTATTTTATTTTCCTTTTAATTTCATGTTAAGTTACTATTAGAATGTAAACCGCATGCGCTCTAAAACTTCCGAGTTTTATTTAGAATTATTAAATCACGACTATGATATAATATGTTTATCTGAAACTAACCTTAATGCTGGTGTGTGTAATGAGGAATTTTTTGATGAACGTTACCACGTCTATCGTAGAGATAAAAGCGATTGTGTATACACTAACCAAAAAAGTGAGGGAGGTGTTATCAAAAAATGTTTTAATGTAATGCGTCGCAAATCCTGTGACTATGAGGATCTTTGGATATCTATAATACTCCCTAATAACAAATACGCGATGGCGATAAACCTTTGTGTTTGTTATTTGCCTCCTTACTTAAATCTTGAGGAGTTTGAAAGATATATGGGTCATGTTAAAAGTGTTGTTGTTTTTTTTTTTTTATAGTATCGGGTGACAAACGAGCACACAGTCCACCTGATGGTAAGTGGTTACTGTGACCCATAGACATCTACATCTATCCTCAATAAAGACTCAAGATGCAGATGCGTTGTCACCCGTGAGGACTAAGATGGAATGCCTCTTTGCCAGTAAAAAGGGTCTCCGGTTCTCTACACTCACCATACGAAACACAGCAGCGTTAAGCTGTTGTTTTACGCTGGTTTTCTGTGAGAGCGTGGTCCTTCCCCGGTCGAGCCGACCCATTCGTGCTACAACCATAATATAACTGCACCATGGCTCTACCTGTTGTTATAAATAATCATGAACTTGGGTATTTCTTTCTGTATCGTAGGCGATTTTAATATCCCTGACATTGACTGGAATGTTTTAAGAGACAAAAATGATCACTACTGCTTGGGGTTAAGTAAAAAAGCTTGCTCTTTACTTAATATGATGGCTCTATGTTGCTTGAAACAGAAACAGAAACAGAAACTTTTTTATTCAATATAGATTATAAATAATACTTATTGAAAGTCACTCTTTTGTTTGATTACCACTGGTTCGGAAAAAGCCTCTGTCCTGGGAAGAACCAGCAAGAAACCCAGCGGGACTTTTTTTTAAATAACAACTTACAATCATGATGTTACACAAATTAACAACACAACAAATTAGAAATAGCTTGGTGGCGATCACCTCACTTCCAGGGGTTATTACGAGTATCATTCATAAATTCCTTAATATTATAATAACCCTTTTTATACAAACTTAGTTTAATAAAGTTTTTAAACTTTGAGCAGGTCAAACTTTATATTTTCTGGAATTTTGTTGTAAAAGCGTATACATCGCCCCAAGAATGAATTACTGACTCGATGGAGTCGAGTAACTGGTACTACTAGCTTGTATCTGTTCCTAGTATTTACAGAATGAATATCACTTATTTTTGTAAAACTACTTTTATTTTTGTGTACGTACATTACATTTTCATAAATTTATTGAGAGGCCAAAGTTAATATATTAATTTCCTTAAATTTTTGTCGCAGCGACTCTTTAGGCTTTAAATCATAAATTGCTCTTATGGCCCTCTTCTGCAAAACAAATATAATTTCAGTGTCAGCTGCGTGTCCCCATAGCAAAATACATGACGACATTATGCTATGGAAATAGCTGAAGTAAACTAGTCTAGCTGTTTCGACACTGGTAAGACTTCTAATCTTTTTTACAGCATATGCTGCAGAACTAAGTCTGCTTGCTAGTTTTGATATATGGGAGCTTCATTGAAGCTTCGCGTCTAGTGTGATTTCAAGAAAAATGGTGGTATCTACAAGACTCAGTTTCTCCCCATTTAAAATTACATTAGTATTTAATTGTTTGCCATTTGGAGTCATGAATTTCATACTAATTTAGATATAGCATTATTTACTTCGTCATATTTTAGTAATTGTCGACTTAATTTGAAAATTAAAGAAGTGTCATCTGCAAATAATACTATATCATGGTTATCCCCTACTATGTAAGGTAAATCATTAATGTATACAAGAAACAGAAAGGGGCCGAGAATTGAGCCTTGAGGCACGCCCATATGTACCATCGATCCGGAAGAGCTCATATTGTTAATGACAACTTTTTGCGTTCTCTTACTTAAATATGAAATAATTAATTTAAGAGCATCACTTCTTACACCGTAGTGTTGAAGTTTCCTGATTAATGTTTCATGGTGAACACAATGGGAGGCCTTGGATAGGTCACGAAATATACCCAAAGCATCCTGTGAATTCTCCCATGCATTAAAGATATAATTAATCAGCTCAACACCGGCATCAGTTGTCGAGCGACGACGAAGTAAATTAATTATATTAAAAAATTTAACATTTGATCTAGAATAATTTTTTCAAAAATCTTACTAAGTGTTGGTAGCACAGAAATAGGTCTAAAATTGGCGGGGTCTAATGTACTACCAGATTTAAATAAAGGTATTACTTTACTATGCTTCATTAAATCAGCAAACACACCAGATTCGATACTATTATTAAAAATAATAGCTAAATGAGGCGCGATTGTATCTATTATAGACGCAATAACTTTAACGGAAATGCCCCACAGATCCGCAGTTTTCTTAACATCAATAGTTTTAAAATATTTTACAATATCTTTTGATGACACTTTATGAAATGTAAAATTCTTTGTACACGCATTTACATTTTGTTGAAGTAATGATTCGGCGATGGCAGGAGAAGAATTCAGTAACTTAGTGGTCAAGATCGGAATATCAGTAAAATATTTCTCAAAAACCATTGCTACTTCCTGATCTGATACAGTTAATTTGTTGTTAACACTAAACAGGTAATTTGAATTGCGAGAGTTGATCTTACCAGTTTCGCTATTAATTATACTCCATGTCATTTTAATTTTATTGGAAGCCGTCTTAATTTTGTTGCTCAAATGCAGACTTGGCTATGGAGCACACTCTTTTAAATATTTTTGAATACTTTTTTACATATTCCCTAAATTCGACGCTATAATTATATGACATTTCATGGTAAAGTTCATATAACCTATGTCTGCTCTTATGGACTCCTACTGTCGCCCATTCATTAAATGACTTCCGACTGTTCAAGGAGAATGTTTTAGAAGTAAAAGTATTATTAAATTCATTGCAAATAAGCTTAAATAATGTTCCATACAAAAAATTTGGATCATTTTGGTATGAAAGTGATGGAAGATTTTTGACTATGTTACTTCTAAATTTCTCCAAGCGACGTGCATTTACTGGAACAAACACAACTTTCTCATTTACTTGCTTTTTGTGAACATAAGGTAACGAAACTACCTGTCCACAGTGATCAGAACTTAATTTTTGAATTATAAATTTATGCAACGGCTTCACATTTGTAAAAATGTTATCTATACATGTTGCACTAGATTGAGCAATACGCGTTGGCTCTAAAAATAAATTAAAAAGACCATATGATTTAAACAATGATCTAAATTTAATATTGATGGAGGAAGCTTCTAGGAGATTGATTTTAAAGTCTCGACATATTACAACAGATTTATTCTGTTTATTAAGCTTAGCAAAAACTTCCTCCATAATGTTTACAAAAGTATCATATGTACAACATGGGGGTCTGTAGACGCTCACAACAATGAGGTGCTCAAACTCAACACATGCCATTTCTACAGTTCGCTCAACAGAGAGGCTCACAATATCTTTACGTTCTTTACATGATAATAATTTACTAGCTAATAATAAGGAGCCACCTCTTAAAACCGTATCTCTATTGAAAGAACTGACCACCTGGTGATTACTGAAGTTAAACATTAAATTATAAGCTTTTAACCAATGTTCAGTAATACATAAAATATGAATATTTTTGCTATTTAAGAACAACTCAATTTCTAGCTCTTTGCCTATCATTCCTTGTATATTTTGATGCACCAGGTGTAAACAATTTTCATTATCTTTCTGTGGAGTCATACAATTAAAGATTTGTAAGCCACATTCTAAATTATTTAAGTTATTATAACTGCTAGAGATTACCTCTATTGTCTCATTTTCTAATTTAAATTACTTGGAACTGATTCCGAATTGCATATTAAGTCATTACACTGCTCAAAAGAAGCAGATGTCTGTGTAGCCAAGTCCTTGGCTGAGTTAATATATAAATAATAAGATAGCACATTTGCTATCTATCTTAAATTATATTTTGATAGGTAATACCTATCTCTAGTCAAAAATTTCTTAATTAAATTATTTATATCTATTAAATTAATTCTATCATTATAATTGTAACAATTAAATGTCAAGTTTAAATTATTATTACATGAAAAGTTATTCATTAATAAATATAAATCATATCTTATTTTATTTTCCTGCGGCCAACCCTGTATGTAAGGCAATGTAAACAAGATAATTTTATGTACATTTAAAGTATTTAGATTATCAATATATTTTAATAATTTATTTTTGTTTACATTGCCTCTTCTCCCAACAAGAATTATTAATGTGCTATTAGGACAAAATTGACTAGCTAAAACTTTATTCATTATATGACTAAAGGATGCTCCAGGCATGCAATTATTACTGATCAGATGTCCTTTTAAACAGTTATTTAACATCATGCCCAAATTTTTGCCTATGTCATCACAATACATAATAACTTTATTTTTTTAATATTTACATTGCTTTTTAAGTTTATATCCTTTGTCATGGCACTGTCATAGAGTGTAGGTGAAAATAATGAGGTCTTACTGTTAACTTTGTTATTTACACATATTGTCTCCGATGAACCTGGTATGGAGCGCTGATATTCACTCTGATTTTTTATTAAGGAGTCAAAGCGCTCCTCATTATATTTACATGATTTTACCAGATCATTCATGGCCAATATGTGTTCTTTTATCTCATCTTGAACCGATGCATATTTATTTGATACAATCTGTAGAGAGCTTTTAAGTGATAAAATTGTTGAATTTATACACTCTATATCAGTCTTATAACAGTGATTCATATTTTCCACCTCA